TTGTAGAGATGAAGTCTCGCTGCCCAGGCGGGTCTCGAACCCGCGGGCTTAGGCAATCCAAAGGCACAGGATTACAGGCTGAGCCACCAAGCCCGGCCATTCATTCCTTTTTATTGTTTAGCAGTATTCTATGGCATGGATATACCACATCAATTTATAAATTCACCAGTCAATGAGCATTTTGGGGTTTTTTCTAGTTTTCAGCTATTATGAATAAAGCTGCTATAAACATTCACTTACAAGTCTTTGTAAGGACATATGTTCACTTCTTTTGGTAAAAAACCAGAAGAGGAATTGCTGGGTCATCTGAAAAGTATATGTGTAATTTTACAAGAAATGAATAAACTATTTTCCAAAGTAACTTCATTCCCACCAAAGATTTATAAATGTTCTTCCACATCTCTGGCAAGTTTGGTATTCATCATTTTTGTTTTCTTTTTGAGGAGGAGTCTCACCCAGGCTGGAGTGCAGTGGCATGCTCCCGGTCACCCCATCGATGACCTTCTGGTCTCCGGCAATCTTTCTGCCTCAGCCTTCCGAACAGCCAGAACTATAGATGGGCACTAGCATGCCCGGCTGTTTTTTATTTTATTGTAGAGACAAGGTCTTGCCAAGTTGTCCAGGCTGGTCTCGAACCTGTGGGCTCAGGCAATCCACTCACCTCGGCCTCCCAAAGTGTTGGGATTACAGGCTGAGCCACCGAGCCCAGCCTTCATCAGTCTTTCAATTTTAGACATTCTAGTGGTGTGTAGTATTTCACTGTGATTTTCATTTGCATTTCACTAATGATTAATGATGTTGAGGCTCTTTTCGTGTGTTTATTTGTCGCCTGGATATCTTCTTTGATAAAGGGTCTCTTCAAATCTTTTGCCTAGTTTTTTAATAGGTTATTTGTCTTTTTATTACTTAGTTGCAAACACTTCCTTACATATTCAGTACTTTGTTGCATATAAACTTTCATATAAATGTTTTCTATGATAGTAAAATAACCACACTGATTTTCTTTTGGTTGATATTTGACAAGTGTATACTCTTCTATCATTTATTTCATTGAGTTAAAGTTTTAGATTTGTCTTAATATTCCTTAAACTTAAACTACAGTAGAACTTTTTTTTTTTTTAGTTGGAGTCTCACTCTGTCACCCAGACTGGAGTGCAGTGGCCGCTCCCGGCCACTACAGCCTCGACCTGCTGGGCTCCGGTGATCCTTCTGTCTCAGCCTTCCAAGTAGCTGGAACTACAGGTGCGCACTACCAAGCCTGGCTAATTTTTGATTTATTGTAGAGATGAGGTATCACCAAGTTGCCCAGGTGGGTCTTGAACCCACGGGCTCAGGCAATCCACTCACGAACTTTTTTTTTAAGAGTCAGAGTCTTGGCTGGGCTTGGTGGCTCAGCCTGTAATCCCACGCTTTGGGAGGCCAGGATGAATGAATTGCCTGAGCCCGCGGGTTTGAGACTCGCCTGGGCAACTTGGCCAGACCTCATCTCTACAATAAATCCAAAAAATTAGCAGGCCTATAGTTCCTATAGGTTCGTATAGTTCCTATAGTTCCTAACGCGCCTATAGTTCCAGCTACTTGGAAGGCTGAGGTGGAAGGATCGCCGGAGCCCAGCAGGTTGAGGTTGCGGTGGCCAGGAGAGAGAGATTCCAACTCAAAAAAAAACTGAGAGAGATTCCAACCCAAAAAAAAAAAAAAAGGAGTCAGAGTCTTACTCTGTCACCCAGGCTGGAGTGTAAGTGGCATGCTCACAGCCACTGCAGCCTCAACCTGCTGGGTTTAGGCAATCCTTCCACCTCAGCCTTCCAAATTGCTGAAACTACAGACACATGCCATAATGCCTGGCTAGTTTTTGTGATTTATTATAGAGACGAGGTCTTGCCAAGTTGCCCAGGCTGGTCTCGAATTCCTGAGCTCAGGCAATCCTCTCGCCGCGGCCTCCCAAAGTGCTGGGATTACAGGCTTGAGCCACCGTGCCAGGCCTGTTTTTTTTGTTTGTTTGTTTTGTTTTTTTTAAGAGAAAGGCTCTTGCTCTTTTACTCAGGCTGGAGTACAGCAAGCGGCATGATTCTGCTTACTGCAACCTTGATCTCCTGGTCTTAAGCAGTTCTCACACCTTAGCCTCCTGGGTAGCCGGGACTACAACCATGTAGCACCTGTTTTTGATGACAATAAGATGGCATCAGTCTGTCATTCCTTTGTGGGTCATCTTTTTCTCAACGAAACCTTTTATGATTTCCTCCTTATACTTTATGTTCTGCAGTGTGTCTAATGTAGATTTATTCTTATTTGTACTACTCAATATTCAGTATACTTTTAATCTGAAAATTCATGTTAGTCTTCATTTCTAGAAAATATTTAGTCTTTTTTTTTTTTCCCAGACACTGCTTTTCCCTTCTCTTCTTCTGGAAACTCCCCTTAGATGTACACCAAAGTCTTTCTCAAGGATTCTTTAATATTTTTTATCTGTGAAATTCTTCATGCATCAGTTAACTACATTCAGCTAAAACAGTGGCTTTAAAAAATAGAGGAGTCAGTCTAGGTCTGGTACAGCTGCTCTATAAGCCCAGGCTCTTTCTTTCTAAAAGGCCACACTCAGTATCTGCTTGCCAGTTCATAGCCACCATGTGATTGCTCCACCCCCAATACTAAGAATCTGTGTTCCATAAAGGAAAGAAAAGTAGTCATCCAAGTCTATCACATTTTAAAGGACTTTTCCAAAAGTCCTACCTGGAAACTTCTGTTTAGTATCTCAAACCCCCAGCTTGGAAGATAATGGTTTTTTGTGTTGTTTTGTTTTTAGAGACAGGGCTTTGCTCTGCCACCCAAGCTGGAGTACAGTGGCACAATCATAGTTCACTGTTACTTTGAACTCCTAGGGATCCTTCTGCCTCAGACCCATAACTAGCTAGGACACATGCCACCATGCTTTGCTTTTTTTTTGTATAGATGGGTTCTGCTATGTTGCCCAGGTTGGGCTCGAATGTCTGGTCCCAAGTGACCCTCCTGCCACAGCCTCCCAAAGTGCTGAGATTACAGGAATGAGTCACTGCACCCAGTTGGAAGATACAGACTTTTATTTTAGGCATATTGCTACCTTGAACAAAATTCTATTCTAATAGTAAAATAAAGAGAGAATACACAAAATTACTTTACTATTCATCAATTCTATCTTCGTCTGATCTAGAGTCTATCCATTTGAGTTTTAAATTTTAGTAACTGTATTTTTATTTCTAATATTCTAATTGACTCTTTCATAGCCACATAGTCTTATCTCAGAATTTCTTTTATTTCTGGTTCTTCCATTCTCTCTTGGAAAATTCTAAACACATTTATTTTCAAGTATTTTCAGGATGTTCATTTATTTCCATTTAAGTCTGAACTGAGTCTGTGTTCTGACTGAGTATGTGGATACCTTCCCTAACATTAAACTTCTAGGTATTTTTTTAGAATTTGGTTTTCAGGCTCATTTGAGTGGAAGGTTCATCTTTTCCATCTCCCCTTATCTCCAGCTTCCTCTCCGCCAATACCCAACTCTGTCCTCATTCACCTCCTCCCTCTCAAGCAATTTTAGTTACTTTCTTCACTTTGATCCTCAGAGCCCAACACCAGAACCAGGTTTCACACTGGCAAAGGTGGGTTCCTGCCCCATGGTTGAGACTGAGTTACACACATTCATTCATCAAACAGTGGGGACTTGATTCATTTCCTGGTCACAGGCCACATAACTTTAGGCTCTTTAGGACCACCACTAGAAGCAAGCCTTGTTTCCAGTCAGTGGTTAACAGTTTAGCTTTTTCTCAGAGTCAAAGACAATAACTCAACCCCTGGCTTCAAGCAATAAGCCTAACCTAATCATTAGCAGAGAACTTTTAGGGCCAACTACTTATAAGGAGCTGAACTCCTGGACTGCCACATTCTTTCAGACCTAGAACCCGGCAGACCCACAGATTCAGACCTAATCATTTTATATTTCTATTCTACATTGTTAAGTCCAGCTATGTTTCTTTATATTTATCTATTTCATTTTATTTTTTTAAAGAGATAAGGTCTTGCTCTGTCACTCGGGAGGAAGTACAACGGCATAATCATAACTCAATGCAGCTTTGAACTCCTGGCCTCAATGGATCCTTCCACCTCAGCCTCTCAAGCAGCTGGGATTACAGATACCTGTCATTCAACCTAGCTAATTTTCATTTTGTTTTAATTTTTGTAGAGATGGGATCTTGTCCAGGCTAGTCTCAAACTCCTGGTCTCAAGTGACCCTCCAACCTGAGTCTCCAGAGTAGCTGGGATTATAGGCACAAGCCATCATACCTGGCTTATTTATCTTTTTAATGTATGTATTCTATCTCTATTGCTGTGTATTTGTCTAATCCAAAGTATGAATTCACAGAGTCATTTTGTTTGGAAGTTCCCTTCAATTCAGATTGGTTTATGACATTCAAGATTCAAAATAGAAGAAATGAAATTATGTATAGCTTCCTATAAATACCAACATATCTATTTGTGGTCATTATCATTTCGCTTGACTAACTAGCAAATGAACTCCTTTCCTGGGTTGGAGAATTCTCTAGGACATCCACAAGAAATGGCATGCTTCCTTGGCTGCTGGATTGAATCTTGTGAACCACCCCAGACTCTGAATTTTAATATAATGGGGAAAAAAGAGAAACCAGAAAGAATCTATTTGGTGATGGATGCTGACAGCTACTTTTTATCTCCAAAGGGAGCTTTCTAGTGGTAGCATGCTCTGTTTACTCTTGGCGTTGTCAGCAACAGCCTCTAGAGCCTAGCAGTGGAGGCAGGAGTATTTTTAACACATAGTTCTACAACAGTACTGGGGGTATGGATAGCCTCTGAAACTCCCAGAGAGTCTCTGGTATAATCTTCAATAATGCTCATACTGGTTTCTTCGAAAAGATATGAAAAAAGCTATGAAAAACATATATGATATTTTCTTAATTAAGATGGTCAAATGAAGAACAATTCATCTTTGTGATTCTTACCTTTCCCCCAACCAGAGGTAAAATGTGCATCTTTCCAGTCTGACAATCCTTCACTGAGGAAACGATAAGGCAGGTACCACAGAGAACAACTAGGCGTTCAGCCCACTTATGCAGCTGGGTCTTTCCCTTGCGTACATTATAGATGCCAGACAGTAGGATTCGATCCAGATGATCCATCTGGCATGGTTTTTCTGAAAAGAAAACTATACTTCAGAATCTATCATTAAGTTAGTATAAGAAACCTTAAAGGAAAAAAGTATTATGTTTCAACATTCAACAACCTTATTGTAAGTAACCAAACAATATAGGAATTACAAAGTAAGATCCCAGTCCTAAATTACTATTCATCACTGAACTTACATACAGTGGGAATACCTGTGAATTTTGATCTAGAGAGCAAGATTTTACCTTAGATGCCACTGTTAGGCCTTCTTTCAATAGCCATATCTCCTTTGCATGTAGAGAAAGTCTGTATGCTAGAGTAGTTAAGATCATGAACTCAGCCAAGCAAAGTGGCTCATGCCCATAATCCCAGCACTTTGAGAGGCTGAAGAAGGAAAATTGCTTGAGCCCAGGAGTTCAAGACTAGCCTGGGCAACGTAGCGAGACGTCATATCTACAAAAAATTTTTAAATATGCCAGGCATAGTGGCACATGCTTATAGTCCCAGTTACTTGGGAGGCTGAAGAAGGGAGATCTCCTTAGCCTAGGAGGTTGAGGTGTGGTGAGCCGTGATCATACCAATGCAACTGAACTCCAGTCCGGGTGGCAGAGTGAGACTCTAACTTAAAAAAAATCATAAACTTGGAGTCAGACATATTTTAATACTTGAGTCTGATTCCTGGTTCTGCCATTTACTTTGTTTCCTTGAACTCTTATTTTCACTGAGCTTTATTTACTCATTTACACAGTTTGGATCTTAATACTACCTACCTTCAAGAGGTTCTTGTAAAAATTAAGAGGCAAAATTAAAGTACTAAGCATAGATTTAGGTAAAAAAGAAGCATGGGATAATGACAGCCAATACTGTTATTAGTCTATTCTAGAAGGAATTTTTTTATATAGTTAGTAATTACTAACTATAGGAGTACTCTAATTCTGTATGTAATCCTCCATCCCTCTGCCTCTCACAGGGAAAAGCTTATGGTTGATATTTCAATCAACTACTCCAAAGGTAGTAGGAGAAGCTGATATGTGACACAAGAGCTTCTCATTCTTTAAGAACCTTCCTTCCCATAAGATATGACTGAGATAACCAGGCTCGGTGGCTCAGCCTGTAATCCCGCGCTTTGGGAGGCTGAGGTGAATGGATTGCCTGAGCCTGCGGGTTCAAGACCCGCCTGAGTAACTTGGCGAGACCTCATCTCTACAATAAATCAAAAAATCAGCCGGGCATGGTAGTGCGTGCCTGTAGTTCCAGCTACTTGGAAGGGTGAGGCAGAAGGATCGCTGGAGCCCAGCAGGTCAAGGCTGCGGTGGCCGGGAGCAGCCACTGCACTCCAGTCTGGGCAACAGAGTGAGACTCCAACTCAAAAAAAAAACAAAAAAAACCCACTGGGTGTTTATGCACCCATATTCCCACTACTTAGGAGGCTGAGGTGGGAGGATCGCTTGAGCCCAGAAGTTCCATGCCAGCCTAGGCATCACAGCAAGATACCATCTTTGTATTTTTATTATTTTACTATTTATTATTATTATTTTTGAGCTGTATTCTCACTCTTGCCACCCAGGCTGGAGTACAGTGGCACACTCACGGATACCGCAGCCTCGACCTGCTGGGCTTAGGTGAACCTTCCACCTCAGCCTTCCAAGTAGCTGGAACTACAGATGCTCATCACCACACCCGGCTACTTTTTGTGATTTATTGTAGAGACCAGGTCTCACCAAGTTGCCCAAGTGGTCCTGAACCTCCCCCCCAGGCTCAGGCAATCCTCTTGCCTTGGCCTCCCAAAGTGCTAGGATTACAGGCTGAACCACTGCGCCAGGTCAATCCCAACTTTTTAAAAAACAAAACCAGACAACTAAATACATATAGAAATGAATAGGAGCAGCAGTAGTATGAGGTGGTACAAATGGTAGCCCAGGAGTTAAGAAGACTCAGTTACACTCCAGAGATTATCACATAATTGTTTATGCAAACTTAAGGCAACGCTTTGCCCATTTAACTACGTGTTCCCCCATATATAATATGAGGAAATGGGCTAGATTACTACAAAGTCTTAAAACTGTAATATTCAATAAAACTTTGTATGTCAATACCAGATATATCAGATAGCCATTTCTCCTTCTATTCTAGGCCAATTCTTCCATCTATACAATCATTCCTCAGTATCTACAGATGGTTGGTTTCAGGAACCCCTACAAATACTAAACTGCTTAGGTCTCTGATATAAAATGGCATATAGTATTTGTATATTACCTAAGCACATCTCCCTGCATACTTTGAGATTCATCTCCAGATTACTTACAATATCTAATACAATGCAAATAGTCATTGTGCTGTATTTTTATTTGTATTATTTTTATTGCTGTATTGTTATTTTGGAGGATCTTTTTCAAAATTTTTTAATCCACATTGGATATGTAAAGGCACCTGTATTCTTTTTTTTTTTTTTTAAGTTGGAGTCTCACTCCGTCGCCAGGCTGGAATGCCATGGCACACTCATGGCCATCCCAGTGTCAACCTGCTGGGCTCCAGCGATCCTTCTGTCTCAGCCTTCCAAGTAGCTGGAACTACAGGAACGCACTACCATGTTCAGCTAATTTTTGATTTATTGTAGAGACAAGTCTTGCCAAGTTGCCCGGGCTGGTCTCGAAAAAGCAACTGTATTCTAAGTTCCACCTTCCTCAGAGACTTTGGTTCTCCCAGATCTATATTTCCTTAGCTCTACTTCCACAATTCTAACTACCTATTAGACATTTCCAATTGGATGTTTATCACCACTTAAAATTAAATAGGCACAGCCGGGCACAGTGGCTCACACCTGTAATCCCAGAACTTTGGGAAGCCGAGGTGAGAGGACTGCCTGTGCCCAGGGTTCGAGACCAGCCTGGGCAATTTGGCGAGACCTTGTCTCTACAATAAACCAAAATTAGTCGGGCATGGTGGCACGTTCCAGTTCCAGCTGGTTGGAAGGCTAAGGCGGAAGAATCATCTGAGTCCAGCAGGACAAGGCTGCGGTGGCCATGAGTGTGCCACTGCACTCTAGCTTGGGTGACAGAGTGAGACACCAACTCAAAAACAAAAAAAAGGTCCAACCCAAGACATCACAATCCCTACAAACAAGCAGCCTCTTCTCACAACTCAAGTTCTATCATATCCTCAAGTCAATCATTTGCAAAACCTCAGAGTCAGTTTCAATTCTTGGGTTCACTTCCTCAACTCCCTTTTTCTTTTTTTTTGAGTTGGAGTCTCACTCTGTCACCCAGAGTGGAGTGCAGTGGCCGCTCCCGGCCACTGCAGCCTCAACCTGCTGGGCTCCAGCGATCCTTCCACCTCAGCCTTCCAAGTAGCCGGAATTACAGGCATGCACTACCACGCCCAGCTGATTTTTTGATTTACTGTAGAGATGAGGTCTCGTTGCCCAGGTGGGTCTCGAACCCTTGGGCTCAGGCAATCCACTCACCTCAGCCTCCCAAAGATGCGGGATTACAGGCTGAGCCACCGAGCCGGGCTTCTCAACTCCCTTTTTCAATCAACCATCAATTCTTATTGATTGCCCCCTCAAAAAGTCTCTCATATGAACCATTCCTTCTTCTTCACTAGTTCAGACTCCTATTAATACATATCTGAATCATTATTCACACTGACACAAGATTCATATTCCTCAGGCTCACTTGAAACACATCACTTTCTGCTACCATCTGCCAAATAAGGACTAAACTCCTGAGAGTGCACTCATGGCCCAAAACAACCTAGACTCAAATGATCTGTGATGTACAGAACACACAACAAAATTTCTAGTCTCCCACCTGTGCCTTATTTTTCATTTCTACTTATTGAAAATTCTGAACTGGGCGCGGTGGCTCACACCTATAATCCCAGCACTTTGGGAGGCTGAGGAGAGAGGATTGCCTGAGTCCAGGGGTTGGAGACCAGACTGGGCAACTTGGTGTGACCTCATCTTTAAAATAAAATAAATTTAGCTGGATGTGGTAGCATGCGCCAGTAGTTCCTGCCACTTGGAAGGCTGAGGCAGAAGGATCACCTGAGCCCAGCAGGTCGAGGCAGCGGTAGCTGTGAGAGTGCCACTGCACTCCAGCCTGGGTGACAGAGTGAGACTCTGACTCAAAAAAAAGAGAAAATTCTGTCAATTTTTAAAGAACCAAATCAAATACTAATTATTCACAAAGACTTCCTCAAAGATTTTCCAAAGAACAACAGTGATAGAGAACTTCCTTATCAGCTATCAAAATATGTCATATATTAGTTAAAATGGTTTTGCTATTGTGACAAGAAAATAAATACATCAATGTAACAGGACAGAGTTCAAAAATAGATTCTTGCCTATATAAAGGCAATTTTTTTTTTGAGTTGGACTCTCACTTTGTTGTCTCTGGATTCAGGAAGTGAGGAATTGGAAGAGCAAGGTGAAAGGTGTGTATATTTTCTGTAATGGTTTTAAGATAAATTCACAAACTGGCTGGACGCAGTGGCTCGCACTTGTAATTCTAGTGCTTTAGAAGACTGAGGCAGGATTGCTTGAAGCCAGAAGTTTGAGACCAGCCTGGACAAAAGAGCAAGACCTGGTTCCTACCAAAAAAAATGTTAAATAAAAGATAATTAGTCAGGCATGGTGGTGAATATTTGTAGGCCCAGCGACTTGGGAGGCTGAGGTGGGAGGAATGCTTGAGCCCAGGAGTTCAAGGTAGCAAAGTAAGCTATGATCACATTACTGCACTCCAGCCTAGGAGACAGAACAAGATCTTGTCTCCTAAAAAAAGTTTTGTCGTTTTTGTTTTGAGTTGGAGTCTCACTCATGTCCATTAGGCAGGAGTGCAGTGGCACACTCATGGCCACCGCAGCTTAGATCTGTGGTCTTAGGAAATCCTTCTGCCTTAGCCTTCCAAGTAGCTGAACTACAGGCGTGCACTAGCCAGGCGTGCCCGGCTAGTTTTTGTGATTTATTGTAGAGACGAGGTCTCACCAAGTTGCCCAGACTGGTCTCAAACTCCTGGGCTCAGGCAATCC